ATTAGTTGTTTTGATTATTTTACTCTTTGTTCCTACATCAACATTTATCTTAATGTTCTTGAAGTTGTCAAATTGTCTAGAAATTAGAGAGAGGGTAATCAAGGATCTAGGATTTGAATTCTTATTATCAAAGGTATGCAAACTCATAATTTTAAATAAAAAAAAACCCAAAGTCAATGTTTATTATATTTCAGAAAATCATTCTGGATTCTTAGCAAGGAAGAAATGCATTTTCACCCTTAGCAAAAATTATTTAAAGCAATTATTGTGACAGCCTCTGTATATACAAATACTTTCACCTTCTTGTTAACACTTGAATACAGTGTAGATGTATATAGTTTAGGCATGTATTATTATTAAATTTCATATATAATAGAAGTTCAGTTTTAATGTTGGATAGAAAAGTGGATATTTTGTTTCTGATGATAGAAACTGCATGTCGATACTATATGTATGCATGTATGTAAGTATATGTATATATATATACATATCCTACTGGTTCTTTTTCTCTGGAAAACCCTGCCAGATACACATGGAAACCTAGTAGAAGGACTATCAATCATCAGTGTGAGGGAGGAATATATTGTCTCTTAACAGAGAAAGTTTATATTGTTCTTTTACCTATTGGAAATGTTCATTCACTTTAATATCACTGAACATAAACTGCTTTTAGGTTAAAATACATTCAAATTGTCAAAAATACAATTCATTCATGTATGAGATTCAAATTAATGCTGTTTCCAGCATTTTTCATGGCATTTGTAACTGTTTAAGCATCCACCCAACAACCTTAACACCTGCCTTTCTCTTCATCCATTGCATCAGAATTCGGGTAGCTACACCTATGGGACCAAATAGGCTCACCACAAGTCTCTATAAATACAATTTTATTGGAACACAGCCACCCTCATCTGCTTAGGCATTGTCTGTGTTCTTTCATGCTATAATGGCAGATTGAGCAATTGCCACTGAGACAGTATGGCCCCCACACATAAAATATTTACTATGTAGCTTTTTACAGAAAAAAATTGTCAATCCTGGCATTACTTTATGTAGGGAAACGCCAAGCCTGGTTGAGTCACAATCTCTGGTTTATTGGCTGGATGAAACAGAATTGTGCTGTATAATCTCACTTTACTTTAAATCTGTGATTGCAGACATTAAATAGGACTGTCATTCTTAGGAAACTGACTAAATTTTGTAAACAATTTGCCATCTGTGTTGGTTACCTTCTATGTCATCTTGACTAGTTCACCAAGGTGAATAGCACTATTCTGAATGTTTTCTGTAAAGACGTTTTTTGTGTGAGATTAACATTTAAATTGGGAGAGCTAGTAAAGCAGATTTTTTTTCCCCATAATGTGGGTGCACCTCATTCAACCCATGAAAGGGCCTGAATAGAACAAAAAGTCACATTCTTCTCCAGTAAGAAAGAAATCTTCCCACTTAATAGCCTTCAAACTGGGACACTGGCTTTGTTCCTGCCTCCAAACTTGAACTGAAGCGTTGACTCTTCCAGAGTCTTGAGCCTCCTTGCTTTCTGACAGGAGCTGTGCCATCAGCACCCGCTCTTTCCAGTGTTCAGCTTGTCCACTTACTTTGCAGATACTGGGCCTTGTCAGCCTCCATAATCACAGGAGCCAATTCTTTATAGTAAATCTCTCCCCACCTCTATGTATGTGTGTACACACAAACACATATACATATATCCTATTGTTTTTGTTTTTCTGGAGAACCCTGACTAATCGCCATCTTACACACTAAAAACGATATTCAAACAGTATTTAGACTTTCTTCTCTTGGTCAAATCTTCCGCATTTCTTTACTCTTCATTGGTAGTTTTTCTGTACATTTAATTTAAAAACACCTAAGACATAATCAAAATATAACATTTCATTCATATCTACCAGCCAACCCGCATCTATATTATATTTATTGCCTAGGATAGGGGAATAATGGACACAGGTGATGGGAACTGAGGGAGAAAAAGAAACTGAAATAGCTGAATTTTAATTAAAATATTACATTTTATTCAACACTTCTGCTGGAGTATTGGCCTGCTTTGAAACCCAGGTGAAGGCAGTGCTGTCAGGATTGGATGTCCTGGCAAGGTCCTCATGTGGTGTCTGCATGTGTTTCCTCCCTACACACCCAGCAAAAACCCCTTCCCAGCACATCCCTCTCTACCAAGGTTTGGAAAAATTCTGATGTCTATTCAAATGTGTCCTCTACAAAATAAAATCCACTCCTTCTATGATAGAATCCCCTTCATTTGCAATGCACTTGTCGGGATGTAGTTGTCTGTCCTAGGTTCTTAGTGTGCTCTTGCCCAAAGTATAACCAGACACATCAAAGTAAGGCAAGTGGGTGAATTTTATTGAGTAAAGTAAGGTACATTCACCACAGAAAGTGAACGGCCCACTCTCGTAACAAAACGGCCTGATTTTGGTCTGGGGTCCTGTTTTCTATTGCCTAGGTTGGGCCCTTCTCATTGTTCAAACATCACCATTGAACCACTCTGATGGACAGTTGGGAATTATACAACCTGAGTCTTACTAGCATGTAGATCTCCCATGAGCCTCTCTGAAAGCCCATGATGAGGGTGGGTGCACCACAATGTAGATGTAAGCTAATGACATGATGATTAGCCTTAGATTGTTCTAGGCCACCTTGCAGACCCTATTGTGCCTGGGCTGCTTGTCCTGTGGGCTAGGGAATCCTCTGCATTCCTTTGCAGTTGGCATGCTAAGTTCTGATTGGCAGATTCGTAGGGCATTCTCCCTTCCTCCAGATGTGGCAATTGCTTGGGGGCACCCACCTTTGTCCCCAGCAGGGCTGGAGGTCCCTCACTGTCTGCCGAACACCCTAACATTTTTAGGGGAGTTGTGGAATTTATCATTGTCTGACATAATCTTATATATATTTATTTTCCCAGAGAATAACCCTCAGGGATTATTGGGACTTTTTTTCTCACTGTAACTTCAATGCCTTGAATAGTAGGCAATAGAATAGTAGGCAAAAGCAGCAATTTGTTGAATTAAAAATCACATTTTTTCCAAATAGGCTACATGTACAGTTTATAAAGTTTATAACATTGACATAAATTTTAAAAATATTTCTTAATATATTGGTATGTAATTTATGCAAGTCATAGAATTAATTTCGTTTTCAGCCTAATCTTCAAAAGATAAATTTGTATATTAAAGTATGTGTATGTCTCTCTGTGTATGGAGGCACACAAATTGTTACAATATGATTTCATTCTTGAGTAATTTATTTTTACTCAAGGTTAAGATGCTAATTAAATTTCTAATAATTTTGCAATAACTACACAACTTCTTAAATGTCTTACACTAGTGTAGGTGACATATTGCTAATAAATTATATTCATGCCTTTAAAAACAGAGAACAAAATGTAACCACTATAAGGGGAAACATTTCTGGAAGGATAGGGTACTAATTTCTGAAAACCAGCTTTTTCACAAAGGCGATAATAACACGGTCCAAAAAAAAAAAAAGAAAAGTCAAAGTCAACATTTTTAAAAGTCTTGAGACTTCTTTCAGATTCATTGCAATAATCCAATAATCTAATTTACTCAAGAAAAATGGCTTAATCTTGGTAAGAACAGCAAGCTGTGTGATATTTTAACTTGCCCTACCATAATCTTTCCCCAGCTCTGTAGTCATCTTTGTTTAAAACTTAAAGAATCACAACCACACTAACTGTCGAATTCAGCAACCTGGTCCCAGGCTTCTGGAAGTCCCATTCACTGGAAGAGGAAGACCAGGGATGGGGCTTTTCAAGAAGCTCCTGCTTGCATGTGTAGTTTAATGCTTTCAAATAATTTGGGTAGTTTTGGCCATTACTTTTTCAATTATTCTTTATATATCTTTCTTCCGTTTCCTTCTGGGACTCCCATTGCTTAGAAACCTCACCCCACCCCCGCTATGTTTGATGATATCCTGTGTGTCTCTGAGTCTCTGTTTATTTTTTCTCATTCTTTTTTTTTTATTATTATTTCAGGAAATTATGGGGGTACAAGCATTTTGGTTACATGTTATGGCTTAGCCACATCCCAACCATGATCTGAGATGTGCCCCTTTCCCCTCTACAACAGTAGTACTTTTGTGCCAAGTACTCTTAAAGCAACTTAAAATACAATTTTTAACAAAAGTGTCAAGACTTTGGTTCTCATGGGCATGATGCTATGTTTTGGGAATGACATTCATGTAAGTAATTATATCTATGATCTACTTTTACAATCAAGATGGAAAAATAAAATGGATGTGATAGAAAATGTCAAAAAGTGAGGTAGATAGAAATTTTAACATTGGTTATCATTATGGAAATAACTTCAGATGACATTAAACAAAATAAGAATCTGGCTGGACACAGTGGCACGAGCCTGTAGTACAAGCTACTGAGGAGGAGGCTGAAGCAGAAAGATTGCTTGAGCCCAGGCATTGAAGGTTGCAGTGAGCTATGATCATACCACTGCACTCTAGCCGGGTTAACAGAGTGAGACGCTGTCTCAAACAAATGAACGAACAAACAAACAAAACAACCTATCAGGAGGTGTTAAGTATTGGAAAGACACAACCTGACGTGAATTTCTATGATAATGCTATATATTGTGAAGAATATATTTATAGGAAAAATAATGATAAAAGGAGGTTAGTGTAAACAAATGCAGGGTGTAAATAGATATTGATAACATTTGAGTTTTAGCAACTGAGAGGTGGAGAAGAGGATAGATTTGGGATACATTCTGAAAGTACAAATAGTATATCTTCTAGGTTTAGAATAGTGAGGATAAAAGAAGTGAACACTCATGATAGTTTTTCTCTACCAGCAAAGGAGTGAATTGCATCATTAAAAGAGAGAGAAAAGGTAATGGTAAGAACAGAATTGGGGGGTCACAGTACAGCATGAGTTCTTTATTAGCCATATTAACTTTGAGATACTTTTTAAATATTCAAATATACTAGACAATTACACAGTTGAGTATATGCTTTATAAAAGCAAAGGAGAATTCATTCAACCATAGGCAGGAAATGAAGAATTCTATGAAATAAAAAAAGGAATAAATAAATGGCATAGATTAAATGAAACTCAAGGTATAGCAACCAAATATAAGATATACATTTTATTAGTTTTATTTGGATCCTGATTCAAACAACTCAAAAAAATTTTTAAAACAATTTCAAGGCATTTTGGAAAGCTGAACATCAGTTGGGTATGTAATGCCATCAGAGAATTATTGTTACCTTTGCTGATAATTTATTGTGTTCATATAAAAAAAGTACACATTAGAGATGCATATAGCAATATTCATCTGTAAGAGAATATGAAATCTGTGATTTTCTTTAGGCTATAAACAGGGAGGAGAAGTGGAGTTATAGAACATTGATAATTGTTTAAGATGAGTTATGGGCCCATAACTTATGGTTATGATTATAGGTTCATTATATTATTCTTTCTACTTTTGTGTATGCCTTCAAATATTTCTAATGAAAGCTACAATTTATGTGTGATCAAATTGCTTTTAATGGTAAGAATATTTTTTCCCCAAAGCCTTTTGTTTTTTTTAATTGAGACAATGTCTCATTCGGTAGCCTAGGCTAGAGTGCAGTGGCTCAATCATAGCTCACTGTAACCTCCAATACCTGAGCTCAAGTGATCTTCCTGCCTCAGCCTCCCACATAACTGTGACTATAGGTGCATGCCACCATGACTTGATATTTTTTTTTTTTTTGTAGAGATGGTATCTCCCTGTTGCCTAGGCTAACTAGGAACTCCTAGCCTCAAGCTATCCTCCCAGTTTGGCCCTGAGTGCTAGAATTGTAAATGTGAGCCACTGCACCCAGCCACCAAAGTCTATTTTTAATGTTTTTCCCTTAAAATTATATGCCACAAGTATCTTCTAAATACTTCAAAGTCTTTAAATAATCCTACTTCTCTGAACAGGGTCAATTTTTGTTCCAGTGACATACAATTCAACTTTCTTCTCGATTGCTTTATCTTTAATTGTATGATTTATTAAAACAATATACACTTCAAAATTGGATAAATAACTATTAAACATAAAAAAGCTTAAAAATTTAATTTTATTAAAATTATCCACATCCAGATTCTCTTTGAATACTTTTTGCATAACCCTGGAGTTATTTCTTGTTTCAAAAACATTTCTCTAAAACATCTAGGGAATAGGCTATTGTGAAAAGGAATCTATTCACCACAGATAGCACTAGAATTTCCAATACTCCAAGTTGTTTATCCATTTAGATTCTATTATAAACACTCACTAATCTATCTTAATTCTCTACTTTTCCCCACACTCCAATACCATTTGTCATGCAGTGTCTCTAACTGACAAGCTGCCACTGGCAATGTCCCTCCATATATCCTCAACTGTCCTGTGAACAGTCCCCTTACTACTGCCCTAACTGACATCCTACAGGTCCCTGAAGACATGATCTTGGAAGGCTTCCCAGTTGGAAGCTCTTTATATTCTCTCACATGTCACCTGTGCTAAGGGCTATGTTAAAGAGTAGCGAATGGCTCCTGTCTTCCAATCATAGCTTCCAAACAATTTCTCACTATTCTGTTTAAAAAGTCTAGCTCTTTATACTTTATAACAATTATTTATAGTTATGTCCACCTGCATGTTGTTGCTTCACTTCATGGTTTTGTGTTAGCAGAGTGGCATGTATATACCAGAAAAATAGCCTCTAGAATTGGGAAAAATATTGGCTCAGTTTAACATAACCAGGAGCTATGCCATAGACTTTGTTAAAAGACAACAAGAGGTATTGGCAGGCCCCACAACACTAACCTCCAACATGTACTCTTCTCAACTAAAATTATAAGCCAATATCTGGCTTTGCCTCTCTGGCTTGGCACAGAAATAAGCTCTAGTCAGGTAATGCTTACTAAGCTACCTAAATTCATGGCTCTGGAGCTGATGAAGCTGACCTTGGCTTCTGCAGCACTAGCACTGGGGCGTTTTTTTGGCCTGCATATGGAGATCCATCTTTTGATCCAAACTTGGTTTGTCCAAATATGTCTTAAACCACTTTTGACCTAAGTTTCCTTAGAATTCTGCTTTCTCCTCTTAAAGTTCTTTTAGATATTTATACTCTGAGATGTGAGTTAAAAACTCATTTTAATCTTTCCCCTTTTAGTTTTGCAATCCAGAAAGAACCCTTTTAACACTCAACGGTTTACAGGAAATACTAGCCTATCATTCATTAAATTTATCTATATCTATTCTTACCTGTTATCTATCTATCTACATATTAATAATAGAGCCTAGATGAAAAATAGATAGTGAATATAAGAGTAAATTTCTAGCTTCTGGAAATGTGGATAAATATTCTGCCTAAAGAAGACTGCAGTCCACTGTGAAGAGCCTGAAATTAAGACATTATTTTAGATTTGATATATTCTACTTTCTAATAAGATAGTAAAAGGATTTATGGAAATATATAGCATAGGAATTTCACTTAGTTTAAAGAATCAGGGGTTTTAAAAGTGACTTATAAACTTAGATGTGAAATATAAATGAGAGAAATATCAAGAAGTGAAAGGAAGTGGTTCCAAGCAAGGAACAACATGCAAAAACTTTCTGAGTTAACTGACAGCTTGGTAATTCAACAACTTGTAAATATTTCAGTATTCTGGGAAAGGTGGTGAAGAAATTAATTTGGTGTATTTTTACGTTAAACACCTAACACATGTACAGAATAAACTTATTTCATTATGTTCTTAAGAGAAAATTGAAGTCAATATCAAAGTTATCTTTAAGTGATCTTATTACAATCATTTATCTCCATGCTCTTAATATATAATTAATTTCAAGTGTATTCTTATTTCTCCTAACTCTTCTTATGTACCATGGGGGAAACATATCTCTAATATAAAAACCTAGTTAATAATAGGAGAGTGTGTATAGATTTATTTTAATAATTAACAGTCATTTTTAAAGATAACTGTATCTCAAAACTAAGCACACTGGAGCCCGGAGGAGTTAATGTGAATAACTCAGAAGACAACATCAACATACTGGTAAACAACTGGAAGCACAAACTCTGTTGTCTGCACTGTTAGTGTCATTTGTTTAATTATAACTTTTAAGAATTTTATGCAATTTCTACTTGAAGATGAACATGTAAGCATAATGTTGAGAAGAGAAATTACAAAGTTTGAAAATTGCTACAGTCCTAACTCTAGAATAGAAAGGCAGAAAATGTAGTTAGTGAAGAGAAAATTAAACAAAAGAAACTTCTCTTTCAAAACATAGGCAAAATTCAAATGCACAAGTGCAAAGAAATAGTCCTGAGTTATCAGAAACAAGATGAATAGAGAGGAAAAAAAGTTCCACCAAAACACATTTTGAAGTGCTATTACTCTTTTTGTAAGAAATTCTACAAAATTGGCAATTAGCAACTCTTGTTTATTGTGCAACTGCAATTCTATTTTAGTCCTGTTTGGAAGAAAGCCCAAAACTGAAATTGCATAGTTAAAAGCCTTTAAAAGAAGAGTAAGATATTTTGATAACCCTGAAAAAGCATATGTTATGATTCAGATGACTGGGTTAAATGGCTTTTTATTTAAAGGGTTTATGGAAACAAAAATAAATGTTCCACACAGTTAACAGCCAAAGGGCAGATGGGGAACATGGTGTCTAGAGAAAGGATAGTCAGAGTTATGGAGCCCAAGTCATATGTCTTATAATTGGCATGAAACATTTTTATTATTTTTTTCTCATGTACATTCAATGTTTGCAAAGACTTTAACAGAACATTTAAATGAATAACATGAGAATTTATGTCTTTTAATTGCCTGAAAGTATTTTATTTAAGGCAGAGGCTTAGGCTGAATTATAGCCTTTTACACCTGTTTTTGTCTTCCAGGGTTGTTCTCCAAAAATTTTCCTTCTCTGAAATCTACTAGAGTTGGAAAATATTATCAAAATGTATATGTTTTTAATTTTTGACTTGAGGAAAAATGTTATAAAGCTTTTATATATTCTATTCATTTATGTGTATAACTAGCCACATTTATCCCCAGTCCATCATATTCATATTGCTTTTAAATGTTTATATTTTTATTCAACAACCCAACCAAACAAAATAACCTTGAATCATAGAATTTTACATGACATATCTAATATTTTAGTTATGTATAGATTGAATTCACCAATTATCTAGTAACTCAAATGAAAAAATGCATATTTTGCTGATGGCAATGTTATAAAAAACAGTAGGTTATACATTGTTTAAGTCAAAGAGAAAGAAAGAAATGCTAGCTTTAAAAGTGACTGAATATGTGTATGTTTAACTAACATTATTTTTTGGGATACATTCAGCTTTATTTCATATGTGGAAATATCCATTTATCAAGATAGGGTCATAGAAGTGAATGTCCCTTTAACAACATAAATTACTTTCTTCTTCCTCCTTCTGTTTTGTTTCTACTCTTCTAGTTTAATTTTTACAATGTGGACTTTTAGTTTCAGTTTAATAACAATTTATTCTTTTAGTTGAAAATTTGAAAAATTCCAAAAATTATCAAAGGGGAAAAATCGTAAAACTAAAAGGCAGCACTAATATTTATCACTTTAAGAAAGTAAGCACTGCAAACTTGGGTAGACTTTCTTCAATTTAAAAAAATGAATTTGAACTTTGTTAAATGTACAACTCCATGATTTTTTCCAAAATGAACTCACCTTTGACACCACATCTTAATCAAGGTGTACAATACCAACATTCTAACTCTTTCTTCTGCCCATGCTAATTATTACTACAGCTGAGAAGAACTAATAGTCTGACTTAAACGTGACATTTTCTTCTGTTTGAACTTGCTGCTGAGTAATAAAATGGAGCAATATTGAAGGATATCACATTCGTTATTAGGGTGCAAAAGATTATGGCATCCATCATATTATACTAACAAACTCTCTTTAATTCTGGTTCAGGTGAAGCAAATTTCCATATATAAGTGCCCCATCTGGCCTCTGGCAATTTCAGTGAAAATGTCATTACAATTTAACAAGTTGATAATACAGTGTCACAGGGAAATAAGTCAGAAACAGTTAATAAAATACTATAAAATCAAAAATGAAAATCAAATAAATAAATATAAATTTTAGTAGATATATAAGTTTAATATATGAAAAATTTAGCATTTTGATTACTGGTGGAGAGGTGGTAATATATAGTCCTTTATATTTAATGAATTGTCTAAACAATTTAAACAAGTTTAGTTAATTTTACTTTATATGATAAAGTAACTTACTTAGAGATCAAAAACTTGAAAAGAAAAAAGCAACATGGAAAAGAAGAATATAGTCTTGGGGAAGTTTTTCTTGATATGAAACCAAGTAAAAATTGTCAGATTATGAACTCCCACTAGAGAATAGTTTCTACTCAAAAAAATCTACATGTCAAATTTAAAATAGTATTTGCTGTGCATATTAAAAATAAAACAATATCCGCAGCCAACAAATGAATTCTAAAAAGATAATAGGGTAATGCTATAGATATACCTATATGCATATGCAAAGAACATGAAAAGGCAATTTATGGAAAAAAAGAGGAGAAATAAATATCAAAAAAGAGGTGAAATCTGATGAAAAAGAGAGACATCAAAATCAATGTGCTCACTTTAATGTTTGACTATTATTTTAGAAACTAGTAAAAAATATATTGTTAAATATCAAAAATTGCTATTTTGGGGAAAAACATTCTCTAACAGATGATGAGATCTATAATTGCTAACACATGCCTGAAGGGGAATTTGACAATATCTATTTATTTGTGACATGCACAAAATCTTTAACAATATGAATATAAATGGATATGTAATAATATTGGCTTAAGAATTAAGCTTTATAGAAGAGGACAAAAATTAACTTACATGGTAGTTTCCATCATAGACTGTTTTCCTTGATTCTGTTCATCATCTAGAACAAAGAGATATCAACAAATAAGTTTTTATAAACCATGGCTTAAGGATTTGTGTGAGTTTAATTTCTAGCTACCTTATTTATTTCTGAAATACCCACCTCTTCCCTCTCTCCATTCTCTTTTCTCTTACATCTATCTCCTAAGTCCTTTTACACAGACTATTACAAATAAAGAAAAGATGACTCAAGCAGTTATGGCCTTATCCAAGATCATAAATTTAAATTTTTGCTATAAACAAAATGTAAATTTTAGCATGACTAAGTATAAAACCAGCAATATAGCTGATATACTAGGAAGACCTGATTCTGCTCAATATTTATCTACTTATTAGAGAAACAGTGATCTTTTTCCTGAAGTATGCAGATACACAAAATATTTATACTTAGTGTTTGTTTAAAATATCTGTAATATAGCAGTGTACACATAGAATGACAAAATGCATGTATTTAATATATTTTTAGTTCTCATATTTAGGAAGGATTACAATCACATTTTATTTAACATGTTAAAACCACTGTCCTTAAATCACTTGCATACCAATCTTAAAAGTTACAGTGTTCGGAGTATCTAAGTTCCTTGCTGGTAATGATTTGTAAATCATTACATTTGTTCATTAAGTAACTTTAGAGTGTTTTTCCTTTCTTTCCTATAAAACTCATTTACAAATCCATTTTATAACAGAAAAAAAATCCATAAGTATTATATAATTTGACCCTTATAAAACACTTGAAGTGTAGTCAAACCAGAAATTAGTTTCTAAGAAAGAAATTATGATTCAGGGCTCTTAAGTTTCCATTTTCAGTATAGTATATGGTGGGTCTGGCACTAAAATACCAGTCATCAGATGCTCTATCAGCTTTCTTACCATTTGTATGTTTCTCCTGAATCTCATCTGTGGCCATTAGCCAATTGGGTACTGAAAACTTAAAAAAAAAAAAAAAATGCCTGACACAAAGGAACGAAATATGTAATATTTCTACCACTCACATGTGATTCAATCCTTTATTTAAGAGTTTTATTAATTTTCTTTTAACTTGTAAAATGATCTAAGAGCTTGTAGATAGATATTTTGAATTTCTTGTGCAATCCATGGCTTTTTTTCTATGTTTTATTTGTTGATCAGTTACATGGTTGCTTTATGTAATACAATATTTAAAGATAAAAAGCAAAAGACACCATTTATGTGAAGGGCTGAGAAGATGAAAGTAGAGGAAAGTGCATTATATTTTCAGGTATCCCCTTGGAGTGATCCTCTTTTTAGCAAAGCAGAAAAGATTTCTTTTCCACTCCACTAGTATTTTTAACCATTAGATTTTGGTGGCCATGAGTCATTACCCTAATTTATATTTCCCTAAAAACCAATGCATAAGCAAACCTCAAAGGAAAATGCTTTCTTGCAAATATAAAGATAATAATAAAAATTTAAAAAGTAGAACATTTCCAGGATGTTAAAATATTAGAGGAAAGCAATATACCTGTCTAGTTAACTCAATTCTACTCCATTTCTTTAGTTAGCATTTTCAAACTATTTCTAAGTTTATGTTTTGCACCTGCATGTAAATCATGCCGTTATTCACCTGAATAGCTTCTTTTGGATAGTTTCCCAGATTGGAGCCATTTATACATAAAATTGCCTTTTTGGCAAGAGAAGTTCTAAGTGAAGTAAATAGTCTTGATTGGTCGGTACATAAAACCCACAAACGCACAGTTAGGAAAGGAAAAATCTGTACTGTAATGGTCCAAAAAGCAGTGCTTGGCAGTTGTAGAATGAAGTATTTTTATTGGATCTTTCTATACTAAGAAGAAGACAAGATTGCAGTTTTCATTTAGTAAAATGGAATAAATCCAACCCTTGTAATTTCCCATTCACTTGGAGATCTTTGTTGCCAGAGTGCCATGAGAGTGATACTCCAAATTGATTTGTATTAGTGTGGCTGAACCTCACCAGGCTTCAGGAGCTACACAAGTGCTTACTGAGTCTGTTTTGTATTTATGTATTTATAAATATGATACAGCTTCATTTTATCTGGGATAAGTGACAAAGATTCTAGCAGGCTACCAATGAAGATTATGCACATACATTATATACTGTATTTAAGGACAAAGGTTTCAAACTGCTTGCACTCAAATCTTACTAAAAAGGTAGAATCATGTGTTAAAGGACAACTTACTTGATCTTTACAGGATTCAGATTCTTTAGCCCTTATAAAAAGCAAAAATAAAGAGTATGCCTAACAGGGCGTGTATGCAGCAAATGAGGCAGTAAAGGAAAATAATTAATAAATGATCTAAAATATTTGTTTCTACTGGTGATAGTAGTAATAGCAAGTTAGTATTATTTTATATTCACCCAAATCTTTTGAATTTAACATTATTATAGTTTACTGTATTGCACTCATCTTTATTTTATTTCACAGTTAGAGAAAATGGAGTTCAGGCACTTGTAGTGACTCCATTCTTGTCAAGCAGAAGAAGCAGACCCAAACAAAGTCCCTTTTTGTATCATGTGTTATTTAGTATAAGGATTAACGTTCAGCATTTCATGATTTTCTTATTTGAAAAAAACAAAACAAAACAACACATTCTCTCATGGTCTTTTCCTGCCTTTGGTTTATCACCATGAGCACCAGCCATTTTTTAGTCTTATAATAAGACTGAAAGTTCTATTGACTCTTTATATTACACTTTATATTGTATAGGCTTTATGTTAAAATATATTTAATCTTAAATATGAAGTTATTTAATTACTTTTTTCATAAAATTATAGTGAAAAATTAATCGTAATAACCAACAAAATTTACTGTGATTATTTGAAGTTGGAGGAATGAGTAAGGTGAGAAATACTGGATATATTTAAACTTGTTGGGGCATTGCTAGGTTGTATGTTTGTATGTGATACTGAAAAGAAAAATATTCTTATACAATAAAACATAAGTAATAATAATACATGAACAATAACCATAATAATAAAATTGGCTTTTATCAATAAAGAATATTTATTACTTTCTATAATAGGAAGTAAGTCAATAGCAGCATGAAAAAGATATATTATCAGGAGAAAATTATTTGAAACTACTAATTTGAAAGGAATTTTGCTAAATACTATTCTTGCCCACTGGAAATTCTGCTTACTAACAAGCGCTTATTTTCAATATTTTCCTGAATTAAATATGTATTACTAAATTTCCAAACAATTTCATTTACATATTCATTTATTTATATATATTTGAGATCATGCTATATGTAAATCACAATAAACACAACTCTGGTCAAAAGGAGCTATAGTTTTCTTGAGAAAATATCTGTTCCCAATAAAATATAGTGTATAAATTGTGAAATATACATTTATGAATGCATAATTTTAAAAGAATCAAATGTTTTTTGATCTATGAAATGAAACAAAACACTAAAATAGAAAGAAATAATATGTAGTTGGTAGGAAATAAAAAGCAGAACACTGAATTGCCTCAGGAAATAAGAGAGTAAATATCTCATGAAGGCATATTAAATAATCTCTAATGCCACAAGGGAATAGGCAAGATTCTTAATTTCTTTGATTTGTCAGGGGAATGGCAACATTAGGGTGAGACAAATCTGAGTATAATCTATAAACTCAATAGTGCTGGTTGTGTAATACTTGGCTTCAATTGCATCATCAGTTAAATAGAAATAACACGTTATTGAGTTGTTCTAATGATTACATAAAATAACACACCTAGGAACTTATCAAAAAAAGTCTATTAATTGGAAATTTTAAGATATTTTACTTCCCTGTTAAATAATTCTCAAAGGATATGTCAAAGATGGTAGAAGATAAAATTATGAAAAATATATGATTTAAGTTCTGATGACTTTGAGAAAAGATAAAACAATTTCAATGTGAACAGTTTTTTTCCTATTCATCTTTGAACCTATAGCTGATCAAATAAGCATAGTCCATTTTATATACTTCAGTCTTTTTAAGTCTTTTAGACTTATGTTAGGGGAAGGGCAGACTTTAATAAAATGTACAATTGAAACATGGCCTGTTCAAAGATGAGGAGGTGCACTAAATTAGGTGATTCCCTCTGTAAGGAAAAAATATCACAGAGGAGTCAGAGATTGATTTCTTGAGAGAGGAATGCTTGTTCTTTTTTTTTTAATTTTTATTTTTTTATTTTTTTTCTCTTTGGTTCAGCATTTTGAAAAGAATGCTTGTTTTGATATGTGAAGGATAGAAAAGAATAAACCAAATGAAGACAATATAAAGCAATCCATTTATATGAAAAATCACACTAATAGAAGGATAAATATAAGAGAGTGAGGAAAAAAGGCCAACATGATTGGAATGGAAAAAAAAAATCAATGGATAAGAGAGTGACAGAGAGAGAGAGAATTTGCTAGTTTCCAGATCTTTCAGAACAATGTAAGTAATTTTTGGAAGGGGATGAGATGCTCAGATTTGTATGTTAGAAAGTGTTCTGCAATTTTAAGAACTGATTAGGCAGGGGAAGGTGCCACAAGAATGAATAGTAGTAGATCTTTTAGAAGTTCAGAGAAATATTTTAGAGAAAAATACTGATGTCTCAAGGTATCATGATTGACTGCATTATTGTTGATCAATATTTGCTGTTAATTTTGGAGGGAGGATTACATTTCCTTTCACAAGCAGGCTTAGTTCTGTGATACATTTTAACCACTGAATTATGTGCAAAAGTGTCACTCAATAGCAGAAGCTACAAGGGCCAGAGCATTTTCTTTTCCCACTGCTGGGAAACCAGCAGTGTTCCAGGTAGAGATTATTCCATCATCTTGTGTCCTTGAATTAAGACAATATAGAGTAAGGCTGACGCCAACCTGAAATTATCACATAGTGCAGGAGAGAGTTAACCTTTTTAAGCTACTGATATTTTACAATCATTGTTACTCAGCATATATTATCCTGACTGATATAGTGGAAACATTGCACATAAAGATAAGTGATCCAATTTGAAGGATATTTCTCATGTAAAATAGATTAACATCATGATTGATTGGATAATAGTTCTGTGTCAGAGAGAGGTGTGAAGTTAAAATCCATCTGGTTTCACAACTGAAAACCAGATGGATGGAGATGATTGAGCATAGGTAGAGAATAGTGGAAGATATAAATCATTGATGAGGTTTAATTCTAGATTTCTATACCTTCAGACTATTCCTGGCAGTTATCTTTATTATGCCCTTCCATCATTAGAGTCGATCGAGGTGAGAAATCCTTAATCATAGAATTTCTTGTGTTAGAGAAAATTTTAGACTTGATAGGGATACACCTGAGTATAATGAGTGAAAGGAACTGTGACTATGAAAATGTTCTGGTTAAGACTGTCTCTTCCAGACCCCACAGTAATGATGGAATTAAAGCTAAAGGATCCACAGTTCTGATATACTATAAACAGGTCACATCTTCAGCGATGTTTCTTGCTGAATCCATGAGCTATGAGTGTCACAAACTAAATGACAATATTGGGCAAGATACCTGAATAATACCCAAAAAACTTCTCTTGAGTGTTTTCCCCTTATTATTAACAATTATAATTAATCACTCTCTGAATAAGGGAAGTGTTTGTAAATAATTCAAATTCTTACACAAAATCATTACTGGAGCCTGATGATATCCTCTACAATATTCTACTCCTCAGTAATAATTTCTTATATTAATGGAAATAAAATATCCTTATATTTAATACTTCAAATGCCCATCTTGCTATTCTCTGCTTTTTTTCACACTTATTATATGTACTATAATCCACCCTGAGCTGAGGAGAGCAGAGATAGATATTGATTTTAATACTGTAGGGCTCATTAAGATATAGGATCTTAAAAAAAAAATTGGCTGTATTGGAAATTTTTCACAAGAAATTTCAGGTTAGACTTGAAAGGTAAGACTTGTCAGAATATGATATGTTTTACCCACCAAAGATCAGGAAATGTTATTGGTGAAGCATCTGGCCAGTTTTCCCAAAGGGCTTATCAGCCTCATAAAGTCAAGCTTAATTCCTCAACACAGTCTGGGCACCTCTGAAAATATGCCCCTCCAGTCAAAGCCTTGGCAGAATAACCAGTGCCTTTCATTGTGTCCTACTATAGAAGAAAATAATTTTTTATTGGACTTATATAACTAACAATATTGTCATAGATTAAGAATGCTTGCAAATAGTTTTCAAATCATGTAGAAATCATGTAGACACAAAAATCAATGTTTCAAATTTTGTTTATAAATATATATTTTTTTGTAAGCTATAAATAGTTTAAAAGAAGAAAAAAAGTTTTTCTTGACTTATGGAAAACAAAAAAAAATTAGCAATGTTTCAAACAAAAAGTGGTAAAAATTTAGTTCAGTCCTATGTAATTAATTTCTGTTCTTTTTGAGGTTGACTTAGCTATATTCATGGATCCATCAGCTTTTTAATAGAAGTCCTGGAAGTTTGTTTTGTTTTAGTCTAATTATACATAACTTCCAAGTTATCAGAAACCTATATTCAAGAGAACTTGTCAGTTCTTTCCTCGCAGAAGGAAACTTTGCTTCTTTAAAAAACACTTTTTGAGAAGAGTCAAAAATAGTAATTGTCTATAGATGACTAAAGTCATATAGAATAGCCACACTTGAAGAGACATTGACAAAGTTGGTTATTTTTGTGGCATATAATGATCTTACATAATAACCATAAGTATTACTGATAACATACACCAAAACATATATTTTACAATATTGGAACTTATATTAATAACATGTTTATATAAATATAATCCAAAGAAAGTTAAACACCATTTTATATTTGACAATGGTTCCTATACGGTTTTAACATATCAAATAAGCCTAATATGTCTCTCTTAGACTTTCAGTAGCCCCTAATATTTAAAAAGTTAGTTTGAGGTCAAAATGACTGGATTTGGAATTTGCATTTTGGAAAGTTTGTCAAATATCAAAGCCTTCAAATATTTGTTCCAATACAATCACACCCACTGTAACATGATGGTCTTTCATTTAACCAAGAGTAGTAGTCATCAAAAGACTCTAAAGGTGACACAGGAAGTTACATGAATGTAAACCTTAATCTTTTTATTTATTTATTTTTGGGGGGAATATGAGAGCTACTTCAATTTGATAATTTGCCGTAAACTGGGGTGGGGTGAGGGCAAGAGCAGGGGTGGAGAGGAAGTCCCGGTGAAGAAGAAAAGGAAGGCACCAGCTTGGCCGCAGCTCCGGGGCTCCAAAGGTACCAGCTGCTGGTCTTCCTGGAAGCTGCTGAGTTCAACTTCAAAGGGCCTGGAACTTGTCAGCGACGACGGCCTGCATGGCCGCTAGTTGCTCTTTAAGGTCGTCGATCTGTTTCTGCAGCACGGCACACTGAGGACAGCCCTGCGGGGCATGGGCAGGTGGCTCCCGGTCACTGCAGGGTCCGGGGCCTCTGGGCGCGACGCCTCCCTGGCTCAAGGCTGAGGCCTGTGCGTTTCCCAGAACTTGGGGGGCTCTGGTGGTGGGGTCCCCACTGCTGAATTCGCCACGATGCATGTGCAGGCAAGGCGGCCCCGGCCTGGGCGTCGGAAGCTCATCCGGGGAATGCATGTCGCCAGTCGGCCAGCCCGGGCGAGGGCGGACGGTTACGCCGTCTCGCGGCCGGAGGTCGCCCTTGTCGCCCACTGCGTCAGCACGGCGAGACCGAGAGCAACGGTAGCCTTTTACCGTTTAGTTTTTCTAGTTAGTCAGACACCTAATAAAGACAACGCAGGGATTATCCTTATAAAGCACGAAATCTTTGTTTCTTTTAGGACAGTTACTGAAAAGGTAAAGACAAGCCTTCTGTAGTGTGATTTTTTTTTTAATTAAAAAGGAAATTGGTTATAGAATTGAAATTAATGTGTCATGTAATTTTATTAAGAGCAAATTTATATTTTAAGAGAACTTTGTTTTTTTAACCAAATGTTTTTAAGTATAGCCGACTCGATCACATACAAAATATCCTCATACATTTTCTTTTATGAACCTTATCCCGATTTACACAGACCATGATCTATAACATATTTAAGCTTTCTGTTTTTGTCCCAAATTTCCCATTTCTTAAACAACCAGTTATTAGAGGACAGAAAAATTTTCATGCAAGATCATTTTTCATACAAGATCATTTTTCATACAATATTATTCTCCTTTCTGTTTAACCTTTTTTAACCCAAAAATATATTAATATTTATATATCAATTGTCTTTTTACATCTTTCTCTTACTTTGTTACTTTCTACTTTGTTTTATTTATTTATTTATTTATTTATTTATTTATTTATTTATTTATTTATTTTTTGAGACAGAGTCTCACTCTGTTGCCCAGGCTAGAGTGAGTGCCCTGGCGTCAGCCTAGCTCACAGCAACCTCAAACTCCTGGGCTCAAGAGATCCTGCTGCCTCAGCCTCCCAAGCAGCTGGGACTACAGGCATGCGCCACTATGCCTGGCTAATTTTTTGTATGTATATTTTTAGTTATTCAATTAGTTTCTTTCTATTTTCAGTAGAGGCAGGGTCTCGCTCAGGCTGGTTTCGAACTCCTTACCTTGAGGCATCCACCGGCCTCGGCCTCGGCCTCCCAAGAGTGCTAGGATTACAGGCCTAAGCCACCATGCCCGGCCTGCTTTTATTTTTTTTAAATCCGTATTTCCTATCAACCATTAAATAACCTTTGAATTAGACATAATTACATATATATTTTAATAAGAACACATTTTACACTTCTTTTATAATTTATTAAAACATTTTTGTTACACTTTATAGAATCACATGTATTGACTAGAATTCTTATAGTAATTTTAAATTTTAGTGAAAACTTAAGCAGGAAATCATGAATTGTCTATCATCAAAAACAAAACACTTGTTCTCTGGAAACAGGATTACAGTTTACTATAAAATTATATTATTCGCTTAACTAAAACTGATAATTAAAAGATTTTAAAAAGTAAAAACATTATTATTTGGTAGAGAGGAGATTCAGTTTCCCAAATAATTGTAATAAGGAGGCAAATTGAATCTGTTGTTCTTTGTCTCTCCTCCATCCTCTTTTTTTTATAGTTTATTTAAAAGGTGAACAAAAGTCTTTTGTTATTTTTAGTAATATCATATGAACATCTTCTTTATAAGAAAAAACGGATTTTACTTTTGTATTAGTGTAGTAACAGTATTGTTAATTTTAAGTTTTCGAGTTAATACAGCCCCTATAAAATGTGTATGTCAATTATAACCTTAGGATAAACAAACTCTTAAATGACGATTACAAGATTTTCTCTACAGGCACAAAGCAAGGAAGAGGTATAATTACTCTTCTACCCATCCTGAGAACATCACATTGACTATTTCCTCTACTCCCATTTTTGAATATTCATCTTACTTAATATAGATTTAATGAGCACCAAATAGAACTTCACTAGAATAACATCAACTTCCTCAATGCTCACCTCTTTCAGCACTTCCTTTTTCCTGTGCACCCTCTTTTTCCTTTAACTGCAAAATAGCCTCTTCTATAGAGATCTCACTCAAAAACAGAAACTTTGTGGTCTGTGTTTTTCCCTGGTGTGACCTTAAAATCTTGGCTTAATAAGCCTCAGTTGAGTGTGAGTTTCATAATCTGTCACTTGTTATTTAACAATAGGGTTATTAATTTTATTAGATTTAAAAATATTTTATATTTATTGATACTCAATTGTGATTTCATTTCTTATGCAGTTAACTAATCTTAAATATTTAATATGGTATCTACCCACTTATTTTTAATGTCCAGAAGTGGATACGTAAAATATTGATATTTTTTAAAGTTAACGAAGTATAATATACATGATAAAAGGCAAAATCTTAAGTGTACAGATTAATGGATTTTTTCACATGTAAACACCTATATCCACCACTAAAAATAAAATATCAAACATTACTCATAGTCCAAGATTTTCTCATTACCCTCATAATTATGTTGAAAAGGTAATATAACTCCTCTGAAGACAGAATTTCAGAATTTTGATGTTAAACTCTTTGAAAATCTACTTCTTTATTAAATAAATGAGAACATAGGCCAAATTCTTGAAATTAATTTTAGCAGAACTCTGGATTAACCTAACTAACCTAATTAAAATTAACCTAAGTTTTGAAACAATCAGAAGAGTGGGAATTCAAGACAAGTCAATGGATCTCAATAAAAATTGTAAGTTTGTAGGATTTTAGCATGACCTAGTCTTATCCTTCATGTTTTGGTAACTGAGAAAACTAGCAAGCTAGCAGCTACTGGAGAAGACAAACTTATTGCCAAAAAAGTTTTCACTATTTTCACTCACTCAGTGTGAAAAGCTTCACCAGATTATCCTATGGCTAAAAGTACACAGTGTTCTTTCTATAAATTTCAACATGTTTAATAATTATTAGATGCAATCAAATCTCCAAAGATTGAATTGCATTTTTCCTGTATATGTGAGTCTAATAAGTGATTAAATATATGACATAATAAGGCCTTATAAATATTTAAAATTATGACCCTAGTAAGAAAGCAATTTGTCATAGTAACCATATACATTAAATTGTATTTCTCAATTTAAATACCAAAATCTGAGATCTGGATAACTGAGATCTAATTCTAAATCTAACACTGCAGTTTCAGTAGTGACATATATTTTATAGATGATCTAATTAAATCTATAACTTTTATAGGTAAATTTGAGGACTTTGCAGAAAATTTTATTTTCAAGGATACCTTAAAGTAACTCTTAATGTATTCAAAGTCTCTTATTGGTGTAATGTCAGCCCAATAACAATTTTCTATTGGCATAACTCATATATTGCCTCAACTATATTTTACTTTCTAGTACATGAAATCACTGATCCAGGACAAGGTTACAGATTTCTTTCAATTTCTTTTGACTCTTTCATCAAATGCTAAGGGGAAAGCAAAACTTCTGGAAAAACAAAATTTATAAAATTTATTTTCATAATTATTGTGTGATATGATAAAATTAATACACATCATTCTGTCTTTTCCTTTAACTTCATATAAACATCAGAATACATACTAATTTGAAAGTTACAAGACTTTGTCTCTATGTTATCAATT